GAAATATTTTATAATGGCTTTATAAATTATTTTATTGAAAAAAAATTTTGTTGAGGTAACACTACAATTTAAGAGTTGAAAATCACTATAAAAATAATTACTATTATTAATAAATGAATTGAATAATCTGATAACAATTATTAATAATTACTTTTTTTACAAAAATGTCCTGGGATAGGATGAGATGACCCCATCTCATCCCGGTTATTGTTTCATCTCGTCCTGAATTGACTGGAATTAAGCGGGGACAAGTTTAACATCCTTACTTATAAGCACATTTCATCAAGATAAAATTCTTCTCATATATTTACCTTGTATTTTATAAATTATGATTAAAAAGTTACTTATAAGTTATTTAAACAGTTCTCAATTAAGAGACCAATATTTTTTTTAACTTAAATTCTAAACAAAAATATCACTTTTTTATCTGCAAATGACTCGTTTGGTGGAAAAACAAGTCATCAATTTTGCCCAACAATCAGAGAGGATGGGATTGTATTTAACCCCCGGGGGGGGGGATCTGGTTAAGATCATTGTAGAGGCAAATCAGAAATTTAGGACGTGTCACCACAAAGAGAGAAAGAAAGAAAGCAAGTTAGAAACATATAAGCATTAAAATTTATGATATGTCCATTAGTAATTGTATTTAGAATCGTTGAACACGATGCAGTAATTACATTGCAAGCGACATCTGCTATCATATCGCATGCCTTTTTACTTTTCCTTCTATTCACGATTTTTAAGATTGCCTATTGTATTGGATCGCATTCATTAGGAAAGAAAACGACTATAAACTCATTACTTCGCTAATCACTCACTAACGTGTAACTTAACATTAAGACACTTGACTAATTAAAAATGCTAATGAATTTAGTGTTTCGGGAGGGAAGCCATCATTTGGACATCGTACACAAGAAGAGTTACACTAGGCTAGGGAGGGAACGAACATCCTCTATAGCCAAGAGCTCAGAATATAGCTGTGCTTTAAATACAACATAAGCTCGTCCAAGCGACCTCCTGAAGCTGCCACTGTTTCCCCAAATGTCTACAATCAACAGTTTAAAAGCCGGGAGTCTCATCAAAATGCATAGTCTTGGGTTTCAAGTCCTCTTGATCTTTGAAAAAGTTCCTGTTTCAGAAAAGTAAGTGCTTTGAGTTCCGCTACCAAGTTGGTGTGCATGAGCCTGTGGATTTGTCAGCTCGATCCCCTGCACAAGAAGAAAACCTAGTAAATCCATCCGTGGGTGACATGCATGTAAACCGATAAAAAGTCACCAATGCAGCACCAAGAGGGAATTATAATTACGCTTGTTCACAGAATTTCAAGATGGGAAAAAGCTAAGCAGTGATGTGACCCACCATACATCATCAAACGAGACATCCTTTTTCTGTGCAATGCACGAAAGAGATAATAACTTCAGTTTCTCAATAAGATTTTTACTTTTCTTTCTAACATTAGGGTGGGCCTATGAGCATGAAGACACTTGAGCGGAGCTGCATTATTCATAACTTGTGAATTATGGGGCTGCTAATATAAAATTTATTGATATTAATGATTAGAGAGTTTTTCCAAGTGCTATTCGATATAATTCCTGTGGATGCAACTTAGATATAAAACACGCACTCGAAAATGATGAAAGAAAGGGTGCAGAAAACTTGCTTTTGAAAGCAGCTACTTTTTTGGGCCAGCGATGAAAGCTTGCTTTTGAAAAAGATGAAAACATGTAATTAAGCACCCCAAGCCATAGAATATGATATATAGATATGATCATTCAGGTCCCCATCCTACCCCATTAGCTATTCTGAGAAAGATCTAATTCCAGTGGAAGTCAAACAACGGCTTCCATTTGTTATTAGGTCTTTTGCCTGAAAGCGGAGGGGAATCACAGCAGCTAACGCACATTATGATAGAATTCTAGCAGCATTTATTAGGTTCAAATCTTTCTTAGTGAGCAGAGATGGAGTCATAAGATGTATAGGGTAATTGCATAGATATACAAATCTCTCAGTTCTCAGTTCTCATTTGAAGAGGCCAGACGACGAATTCACCAATGGCACCAAATAACCTAACCCATAAGGAAAGTGGCTCTAAGGCAGTGCACGAACAAAAAGAAGCCCTTTCCAAGCCAGAGCAAAAAAAGAAGCCCTTTCCAAGCCAGAGCAACAGTTGAACTACACTTGACAGGCTGACACATTTATCCAATGAGATGGTAGAGTGATACTGACCTGCACTGGTGTAAATGCTAGACTTGAAGTCAAACCAGATGTGGCACCACTGCTACCATAGCTCTTTTCCTTGAATCTGACAAAATTGAGACAGTGCATCGATCATTATCAGTCAGGGAAGTAGCACAGCCGAGACAAGAAGAGTGGTACAACTCTTGCTACAATTCAACAGCTAAATGAAAAGGCCATCGCAACATTTACAGCACAATCAAATACTCAGCAGTTAGCACATAATAAAAATACACTAAACCAAAAGCCTGCCTAAGGACTTACTTCTTAGCAACTTTTGCTGCAAGTTTGCTTTGACCAACTGACACACGAAGCTTGCCACTGCCAGCCTGACCAAGCATTCCATAACCTTCACCAAGACCATCCCCTATAATGCAATAGCAAATGAAAATCAGGAAATAAGGCAGTACAGGTTCGCAAAGGTAACAAGATTACAACGCAATTTCCAAAAAATTATATCCTCAACATCATTGTGAAAATAAATCAGACAACATAAATGTATTGTCATAAAATTACCTAAAGAGCTCTCTTCAGGGATACCAAACAGCATCCTATTTGCTAACTTCCTCATGTCTGTCACTGCATACCTGACAAAAGAATTAACAGGTCAACTGTAGAAACCAAAAGGGGGAAGAATAAAAACCCTCAATCCAAATAAACAAAAAGGATTGGCAAATAAAGTTGATGCTGACCTTTCCTTCATCTTCCTCAGCCGACGACCACCCCTCTTTTTTTTGGGCTCTGAATCAGGTACTGGCAGAGGTTTCGGTTGCTTTGCAGGTGGGGGCTCTTGCCACTTCTCAATCTTCTTATGGATCTCTTCCTTGAATGCCCTCCCTGTGTTCCCAGATGGATCTCCCCGTGTTGAATCTACTCGTGCTACAAGTGTAGACTTTGCAGCCAATAATCGGCAAGCACGCATTCTCAGAGGAGGAGGGGTAGTTTGAAATATTTCTGTTTGCTCAATGTAACCTACACGAAATTGAGATGTTGCAGTAGAGAAACCAGCAAGATTCTTTTTCTTGGCACCAAGAAGCTGGACATTACAAGCAGGCATCTTTGCCAAAGCTGCCAAGCCACCTGCTGTTCCCATGAGTTTGGCTGCAACAGCACTTCCAACAATAGCAGAAAGATTAGGTGCAATGTAGCCCATTCTACTCTCAACAAAATCAAGGACCTTTTTCTTTGCGGCATCAAGAGCAAGAGCTCGATCACAGGCATCAACTGTCTTATTAAGGACTTCTTCTGGAAGTGGCTTGCCACTTGTAGTTGATGCTGTAACTGAGACAACCATGATAATAGCAGAGGGCAAAAGCCCTTCTAGATCAACTAGAGTCAGATCTGTTTCATTTCCAATCTTCTTAACAACACGTGCATAATCAATTGGGTGATGCACAAGTGATTCAAGCTCTGGAAATTTCAAGCGATATTTGTCACGGATAAAAATTGTGGATAACAATTTCATTCTCAATATCAACTGACAAAGCATTGCATTCCACAATTAGTTGGTATTCAGGATCGTCTTCTAAGTCTACCCCCTGATTTGAGACATCTGAACCCTTTTCAAGTGCTTCTTCCACTTTCTGAAATTAAAAAAAAAAAAGGAAGTCTTTAATTATTTTAGCTCCAATATCTATGAGAGTACATATCTTTTTGGGGGAAAACACTAAGCAATGCTCAAGTAGCGAGTTTATGAGAAATAAGAAAAACACAGGCTCCTTGTATTGATTCTATATATAACAACAACAAACAGGTCCCTCTTTTCCAGTAGCAAGAGAAGGGCTAAAATTTCAATCTCAACAACATACACGGAGACTGACAAGTTTCTGCTACAATAACGGCGGTATAAGCAACCCATAACTGACTAACCTGCATAACATCAATGTATCTCTGAGTTTTCTGCAGTTTTGAAACACTATCTAAGTCATCGTAATTAAGGTTCTCAATGTCAGCCATCTCTCCATCAATATCTTCCTCCATATCCGCGGTATCAACATCGTTATCCTCCTAAAAAGAAGGCACAACAACAATTATCACTTGCCTAGTTCTTCAAATTTGATGCAAACATAAATAAATTATACTCACGGGGATTTCAGCCTCATTGTCAGATAGTTCGTCGAGGTCCGCGAGGAAAGAATCAGCAAGCGTCGCCTGCAATCAATCAAGCACATCAAAAAAATTCAAAATATAATATCTCGATTTCGAAAAATCATAGACACTGGGAAAATAAAAAATATATCAAGCAAGGATGTAACGTAATTTATTTTCACAAAAACACCTCTCTGCAACAACAGGCAAAAGCTTACCATTTATGCGGGGCAAGAGAGCGCAGATAGCAGTAAAGATAATACGATGGTTGGGGCCTTGACGGCCTAGGGTTAATATATTGAGCTTAAATTACAGATTAGAGGTTTCGATGGAGATGGAGACTATTCTCCCAAGGCTTCCCACGGTTTCAGTTCGAGTTCTCTAGTCCTTTCCCTGGTCCCGATCGCTGGATTTTCTTCATCGGTGTGGATTTCCTTTTCTTTTTTTTTTTCTCCCCACTACCGTGGAAGATAGATCCGTTCTTACAAAATCTAGCGTCGTATCAAAAAGAATTTTGCAGCGGGCCAGCCCAGCCCATTCAAATTAAAAGGAACGGTCCATCAGTCTGGCCTTCACCTGATGGGGCACAAAACCCGGAAATTGTGACCAAATATTAAAAAGAAAATGGAGCCACGGGCTATTGGCCCAAAAAACAAACAATGGAGACACAGGCCCACGGCCATGGGGTCACCGTTGAATAAAAAGAACAGTTTTCGAAGTTAACTAATTGAGAATCTTTTCTTGTTGGCCATATTCAAAATTAAGAATCTGCCACCAGTTTTTCAAATTCTGATCCATTTTGCCATAACAAACTAGTATTGAGACCTGCGTCTCCAAACCAAAGACATTCCAAGGTTACGGTGGAATGAACAAAAATACGAAGAGTGATATATCAGGATCAGAGAAGAGAAGGAAGCGACAGGCAAGGAGGAGGAGGAGGAGGAAGAAACTTATTATCACAATCTAACGAAAGGGGTTTGAGGTTTGGTTATGATGATGGACAGAGAGAGGGAGAGAGAGATAGAGCTAGAGAGTGCAATGTACACTAACTGTTTATTGTTAGGTCTTGAGCCGGCAATTATCGGAATCGGATGTTCCGGTGGCATCCCTCGAGTTGGACTCTTCCGCCATTCCAACCCGAAATTGGGGGAACAGCTCCTCTACTTCATTCTTTCCTCCCTCAGAGGCCCAATTCAATCCGCCAAAGTAATCCCTCTATTCTATTATTCTTTACAATCTTTACAATTCTGCCAATTTCACACCCGTAAAACATTTCACATTTATATGCCAGCTCGCACATTTTGATGGACGAATTCTAATTTTAAGCACGATCTATTTCTGTTCCATTGGATAACTTGTTGGATCTTTCAGGATTTCGATAAGGTTTGGCCAATTTTTGATTCGGCGCAGTCACGTGATTTTCGTAAGGTATAAATTAATTGACTAAAATCAGTTCTACATTTTTAACAAAATCTGCAATACTTTTATTACTGATGTGATTGCTTTACCAGGTTGTGCAAGGGATTATTAGTGAGCTCGAGTCTCAGGGTGAACTTCCACGGAGCAATTCAAGGGTTTCTTCACTTGCTACGTGTTGTGGACCTAGGTTTGTAGCGGATAGTCATTGTTAAAATTTGAATTAACTCATAATCCATTACAATAGGTCCAGCTGAGTGGAGCTTTTAGTTTTCACGACTCATGATCCTAATCATCCTATAAAACATGAGATAAAGTGGCTCATCTGTTCGCCTTTCCAATTTATAATAACAAGAGTTAAAGTGCTTTCTTTAGCAAGAATATTGTGTAGTGTAGAATGAAATTAACGGATAATTGGTATTTCTGGAACTTAAGAGAGTTATTGTAGATAACTTCTGCGTCAAGCAAGTAGCAAAAAACTAGTAAAATCATTATTCATTATTAGGATGCCATGAGGAAAATTGAAAGCACATCATTTGGACAATTCGATTTCACCTAGAATTGGTTTTAAGTTATTTGCTTGTACGATGCGCTGTAGGTTTGTTGAACTTCTGTGGCAACTTTCATTGCATGCTTTGCAAGAGGTTCATAGACGAACATTTGCAGCTGATGTTGCTTCTAACCCGCTGCCTGCACCATTGACTGATGTAGCGTTTTCACATGCAGCTACATTACTTCCTGTTACGAAGGTATCACTGATAACCCGTGAAAATTTTTCCAACATATGATTTGGTATATGTGGTGTCTTAATTGTAATTATAAAATCTTGGTTAATTTATATGGAAGAAAGGAATTCTGAGTTTTGGCATTTATGATCTCTCCTTGATGACATTCATTTCTTCGATGTAAACATCTTGAAGTCTTATGTCCATGATAACAGTACAAAAATATTTATGGAATTCACTTAATACTTGATTCTTTCATTAGAAGCTATTCATCTCGCTAGAGATTGCATAAATACTGGATTTCCCCCCATACTCCTTTTGAGCACTTTACTGTTATCATTTTGCCTGATTGTTGTTTAACTGGGTGACTTGTCCTAAAACAGGCAAGAATAGCCCTTGAAAGAAGGAAGTTTCTTAAAAATGCAGAAATGGCTGTACAACAGCAGGCAATGTGGTCAAATTTGGCTCATGAAATGACTGCTGAATTTCGCCGCCTTTGTGCTGAAGAGGTATAATAATTATGGAAATCTTGCAGAATAGAGCTTTATTGTACCCTTCTATCTCTTCTCTCCAGGAATATGTTCCTGTATATTTATCTTTTGTACAACGGCTGTGTAAAACCTGGATTCAGGCTTATTTACAACTAGAGCTGGAGAAACTACATGAGTTGAGGAATAAAGTGAAGTTAGAAGGAGAACTGTGGGGTGAGCTTGTATCCACCTCCAGTCAAAATTCCCATATAGTTTCAGAGGCAACTCGCCTTTGGGAGTCTATATTAGCTCGTAGAAGTAAGTACAAATGTTGCCTTGTTTGTAGCACTATTCTAACTGGTCATGTCAATATAATGCCCTCATATTTAATTGCGTAATTGCATGAGATGTGGAAAATTTGTGAATTTGAACTTCAAGGAAAGCACGTCAATTCCCTTGAATTGTAAAATTCATTGTTAAAAAATGATCGAATATGGAATTTAATTAGAAAATTTTATGAAACATTATCTTCAACAAATAATATGATTTAGCATAGATTAAAAGCAGGCAAATGATAAATTGATAGATAAAGGGACCAAATTAAAGTTTAAACAGAGAGAGATGAGAAAGCTAAAAGGAAGAAATTAGTAGATTATTAAATGGTCAAATTAGCTTTACCAGTTCCTTCCATTTTTCCCCATTGATAACATAACCAACCCTTCCCCAGGGGGAAAAAACAAAGAAAATGTTGAAAATTGCTATCAGCAAGAGACCCAATAATATAAAACCAATCTTTTATAAATTTAAGGTCATTCTAGACCAAAAACAAAAACTCCCACAAGCCATATATTATTTGTGTATGCAAATAATAAATCCAGAAATGCTGCTACCAAATCAGAAAAAAGGGGGGGAAACCCTCATAATTCTCCCTTGGCTTTTGTTTTTTATATCATATAAAATTGCTGGGACTGTACACCAGAAACAGAAAAACACAATGCGCATGATCTTGCCAATATATGATAGCATGGTCCCAAGCAAGAAGAACCTATGCATACAAAATGCATGCTTTCTGTTAACAATAAGAAACTATTGTGTTTTTCCTCTTTATTTCAATTGAGAAAACAAGACTGGCTATGGATGATTCAGACTTCTGTTATATAAATGTTCAGGTCAACATGAAGTTCTTGCATCTGGCCCTATTGAGGACTTGATAGCTCACCGTGAGCATAGGTACTGTAGTTATTTAGCCTGCCTTGGTTTCTTAATATCTGTTAACCTGATTGTGCTGACTGACTATGTAATGCATACATCTCAGGTATCGAATCTCAGGCTCCTCTTTGCTTGCAGCAATAGACCAGAGTTCAGGGGCTCCTATTTTGGGTGTAATATCTGGTCAGCCTGTGGATTCTCCTATTGTGCATATTGATGACAATGATGACATGGAGGACGTTGATGGATCACATCTTATTCTTAGCAAAGAGACATCGACAAGAGTGGCTGATAAAACTGGTAAATTTCATCAAACAGTTGATGTAGCTGAGGTTATAAGGCGTTGGACACATGCTTTGCGATGTATTCATAAACAATCACTTCATTTGGTAAACTCCTTCTACACCGTTATGTAAAGATGATACCATGTTCTGTTCATGCTATGGGTCCTTTATTTCTCATTTCTGTTTTTGAATATTGGGATTGGATTTTCAAATGCTTGACTGTGAGGTCCTTTCAATTGTAGTTATACGTGCTCCAGAAGACCTGAAGGTAGAAAGGTGGCTGGGAATGATAGAATGAGCAATTTTAGTCAATAGCTATCTTGACAGTGCAAGTGAGGGGTGATGATCCGAAGGAGTGCAAAATGAGTGGCAATAGATCTAGTTGTGCCCAGTTTTGTGGCTGAAGGGGTTTGGAGAAATTTGGGGAAGAGGAATTTGGTTTGTTTCTGTTAGTGAGTGGGGATAGATGTGGATGTACTGAACTTGTTTTCTTTGGTTAGTATTGTCTGTCAAATGTAACATTTGTATCTTAGTAGGTTTTTCTTTTCTGGGATTGTTGTACTGCTTTGCTGGTTTAAATTTCAGTTAGCAGAAATTACTGTCAGCTACTGAGCTATCAGATGCCACGATATTCAAAATTTTGATGTTTGGTCTGACAGTTAAGAATTGCGATAGAAAAGATTAGATGTGGTATTTCATAAAAGTTAACAAAGCTAAAAGGGGTGTCATTTGAGGTCCCTGTTGAGTCCATAATAGTGTGAGATAACAACCAAAATGGTGTCATGCTACAACACCTCCTTAGTATAGCTACCAAGCACCTTCTTGGTGACTTAAAGAAATTAATGACGTTTGTATGACATGTAGGCAAAAGCAAATGATGGAGAGGGTCCTGATATACTGCGAAGTGCACAAGAACATTGTTCAAAAGGTCATGCAGAGTCTTTAGCAGCAACTCTTGCTGAACATCAGCAACACTTGGCTAGCTTTCAGGTTTGCATTCAAGCATTTTCACCCAACCCATTAGTACCAAGGTTGAATGTTTTTCATGAGCAGCGCTGTCATTTACAAATTTAGAGGATTTACATTGTTTTGATATTTTTTTAGAACCTGAACAAGGGATAATATATGTATGATTGTCTTTATTGTATCCTTCCTTCTTGCACTCTTGGTGGACTGCGTCTTCTTTCAAGAAGCAAACAGTTAGACACTGACATTTGCTTTTTTCATTCCAAATTGCTTTTTAATTGACGTTCAAGGTTTAATTTTATGATGTATTTGTATTGGTGGATGGTTCAATGTAGAAAAGTGAAATTGCAAGGACTCTTTCTTTTGCCACTGAGCAAATATTACTGCATGGGCAATATAGAGAATGCTAGATATTTGGTTTGCTATGGAGAAGTTGCTTGCCCTCCATCTATTCACTTCTGATTCTAGCCTTCTGTATTGATATGTTGTAGTTTGATTCCACATTGGGCCTTCTTGGTTTCGGGAGGAGGGATTCAGAATCTTGTGCAATATGCTCAGGAGATTTCTCTCTTTATATTTTCCAATTCTTGCACTTTTCTTGTGCAGGTGCTAATTAACCAACTCAAGGAAGTTGCTCCAGCAATACAAAACTCCATATCCGAGTGTACAGATAAGGTGAACAACATCACTGCCAATCTTCCTCCAATGAACAGACTTCATGGCCGATCAACATCACCTATTAAGACAAAGAGTAGTGGGAGGATGGTAATTATCATGATTTATTTTCCTTACTAGATGGTAATCTCCCTTGGATATGGATGAAGTGGTGAAGTTATGCAAACATTTGCTTTAATTTTGGCTACCGATATGAGCTTTAGAAATGAAACAGAATAAGTTACTCTTGCAAATCTGATTATATGTTTCCCTTCTGAGACATCCATTAAAATGGTAACACAGTTATATCTTATATGGTGAAAGTCGGGTTCAGTCTAATGGTGTCTCACTCCTACCAGTGTATATGGTAACGGAGGTGAATTACTGGGGTAAAGAAAGGGGAGAAAGGGGAATAACATTAAGGGGTCTTTCTCCATGAGGATAGTTTCTCCACACCATGTGTAAAATCTGTTTTCTTCCTTCTTATGCTCCTGGGGAGGCTGCATTGTCTTATAGCCCCACAATGTACTTGGCATTCCATGCCTTTGTCAGAAAATTAGAGAGGTCCTGCAACATAATTATAAGTTGGGAGATATGAAAAATGGGATGAATCTAAGCTCCAGAGGGAAGTTCTGACGTGTAGTCTCTGCTCCATATTTCTGATAAATTTTGAAGAGACTTGAATTAGTGAGGCTGCAACTTCAGCTATAACATAACCCTAACTTCATCCCTTTGTTTCTTACCTCCTCCATTCTTCATTTGTGCCTGTGCTTCATCCAAATCCGCTTTCAGTTCTGCCAGTATCATATTTCTAGTTTAGAGTTTCTCTTTAACCTTCCTCGGCCCCAAAAGGGTCCTTGCCATATTGAGCCTTAGAAGGACTCATACGCGCAGATCAATCATAATTCATGATTGTTGAAATAATATTCAGTCCAACACCCACTCTTTGGTTTTAGGCAATCCACACAAACACTTCTTTAACAATAACTTCAGCTGCATCTTTGGCTTAAAAAGGGTGTGGTAGATCCGTAGATGCATAAAAACGAGCTTTATGAGCATCACCACCATGATGGTATCATATGCCCCGGATTTGGAAAAACCAGTAATAAAATCCATGTGATATTTTAACGTACATGCAAAAGTAGGTATGAGTAATGGCTGTAAGAGACCAAATGGCTTAGTGCCTTGGTATTTGTTGCGTTGGCCAACATCACATTTGGCAACCTATATGCACACCTTTCTACGACCAAAGAACATAATTTGGTCAGCTTTCTATATGTTCCGTAATATCTTGAAACCCCTTTTTGAGTAATGACGGAGTTCACGTAGATGACTTTAGAATCATCAAACAGCCATGTAACTCTGAGAGGTTTCTGTGATATCATGCCAAGAATTATATGCTTCTTTTCTGTTTCTTTCCTTTCCTCAGCTTTCTATATGTTCCGTAATATCTTGAAACCCCTTTTTGAGTAATGACGGAGTTCACGTAGATGACTTTAGAATCATCAAACAGCCATGTAACTCTGAGAGGTTTCTGTGATATCATGCCAAGATATTGGGAATCCTGCTCCTTTTCTGTTTCTTTCCTTTCCTTTTCTTTTCCTCTTTTTTTTTTTTGGCTCCTTTCTAATATGAGTCTGATTTTTCTCTATTTGTAACTAGATCTTTGGGTTATTCAGGACTATGGCAATGATGATGTTGGTGAGGTGACTTCAAGAATATCCAATGTTCGGATTGACAGGGTGTCTGTTAGTCCTCCCACTTTAAAGCTTCCTCAATTATTAAGCTTCATCCCATCTTCTGGGAAAGCTGGAAATTTGGTGAGGCGGCAGGGTACAGTTCCTCAAGCCAGCCAAATTGAGAATCTTCTTGATAGGAAATCCTTGGATCCTCCTTCAAGTACTCAAGTAGAGACTCTACCGGAAGGTTTGCTCTGTCTACTCTGCTTCTCGCCTGACGCATTTCATTGAATTGAAGCTTTGGAGTTTCCGTAGGGAATTTTATCTCCTCATTGGAGACAACTGCCTGGAAATGACATTAATTTTATTTTATGTTTTTGCAGGTGATGATTTTTCTGATGTCCGGAATTTGAAGAGGTCAGTGAGGGAAACTGCACTGCTATTGCGGCCATGCAGTTCAGCTTCATCACGAGACAGTCATTCTGATGGAAGTTCTGAGCACTTCTTTGTTCCTCTTTCGGAAACGGGTTTTTCTCATTTAGATGCTGAAAAAAGGACAGTTTCATCTCAGAGTAAAGGGTCATTTGCATCTCCAACGGATGATTCTCTGCTTGAGAGTCATGCTTCTAATGGTCTTGAGAAGAGCAAGTCCGATGAATTTCCAGATTTGTTTACCGATTTGGAAAGACTTTCTGATTGTGACAGTGTAAATGGGTTTCTCTCATACACTGGTTCAAATACAACTTCTGATGCACAATGGTCAATCTATGACTTGGAGGGTGCTCAGGATCAAGTCTTCTCACCACATCTGCTAACGGATTCATTGCTTTTAGCAGATTCATTTGAGGACTTGCTAGGTATGTTGAATTTGCAACTCACTGTTTTGGTTATAATATGCTGTCTAAGTATATCTCAATTTCCAAGGAAAATTCTGGTATCTCTGTTATAAAAAGTTTAGGATGAAGACTTTATCCAATGCTCATTGGGTTTGAGGATGCATCTGGAGCTTTCGCTGCCATTTTGCTCTTCTCTGTCTAAGAAAGAAGTGCCTTTCAATATTTCAAATCATCTATGAAGCATTGATACTAAAGAATTTGAGTCATCCTGTTTCTGTCACTCATTTCAGGCATGACACCACTGCAAACTGAATTCGACGCTAAATTCTCTGTTGTGTTTTGTTGTCCTTATTAGTATAAATGCTTAGAGCATAATTGTCTTGAGACATGTGCTTCTACGCACGTGTCATTTCGGAAACTTGCATACTCAGCAACAGATTACTATTTTGCTTCTGCTTCTGTGCAGCTCCCCTCACGGAGACTGAAACGGCCATGATGTTGAGCACTGACTCTTTATAATTTGGGTGACCTCTGAACGAGGAGACTGCTTGAATACTTGATTATGGAGGTAGGTTATATTCATGCCTTTGGTGGGATACATAGGCGGACCTATGTTAAACTCAGTGGGCCGCCGTGAAATCTTTGGAACGCACACATATGCAGTTATGCAATTCATATAATTCCTCCACCTTTTTTTTTTTTGGCACTTATTAGCCGGGTGCCTGGTTTGCGGTGGGGTAGGGGAAGCAGGGCAAGCAGATTCTAACATGCAACTTTACACTTTATTACGCTATTCTTTCCACCACAGTTCCCCATACATCAATAAATGGCATAGCAATATCAAAGGAGATATAACATTATAAATCGAAAGTCTGAATATGATTAAAATGAGGCTAATTTATTGATATCAATATTAATTAAAATCTGTGAAAAGCACAATCTGTATTAATTATAATGACTCATAACATTAAAAGAAAAAAAAATCGAACAATCGAGTCTCGTGACTGGAATATCTCTATATAGACGGCTTCTGGTTGGTGGTAATTTATCATCACAGTTGTAATGGACCATGAGTAATATCATCCAACAATTTTAGAACGATGGACGTTGGCTTCTGAAACTCGTAAATGCAACAGAATCTAGCTTTTTTTGCCTGCACTTAAAAACATTAAAACTTCACATTTCAAAAAGAAAAATTAGCATGGGTAATTAGTGTTATTTTATTATCTTTTCTATTTAGTATTTATTGATTATTGATATGATTGTTAATTTACTTTTTCTTACTGTTGACAATGAATTTTTTGAATTCTATGAACTTCAAAAAGTAATCGCTAGACAAGTTCACCAAAATTAATGTTATTATGTCATATGTAAATTTAATGATTATATAGTATATTTATAAGATAAACAAATGAGCTGTTTTATTATAACGTTTAAAGTGTATATAATATCTAAAATAGTTATAATAAGTTGAAAATACAGTTTCATGAACGAAAAAAAAGGAAGCAATTGAGATGTCGGTGTCACCGATAACTTCATCATCAGCGTACCATGGAAGCCGTCCCTTGCGGCCCGGCTCCCGCCAACTCTTTTGAAAATCTTTACTCAAAGTGGCCGCACTCTTGCAGTCTTGCTTTGCCCCTTTCTGAAATTTTAAAATTTCATTTAAATATTAAAAACCTTTATTTATATTAAAAATAGAGCTAAGGTGTGCCTAGCACCCCGAACTATTTTTTCAGGTGTGTTCAGTGTCCTAAAGTAATTTTTGATGCATCTAGTGTTCCAAACTAATTAAAACGGTGCATTCATATCCCGGGTTAACAGAAAAGTTAAATTTGACCGTTACCTTGCTGACTTAACAGAAAGTTGACTGAAAAATCCTACGTGGCGGACATGCAGGCATCTGATGTGTATTATTTTGACGAGTTAAGGTGCGCCCAGCACTCCAAACTATTTTTCCAGGTGCGTCTAGTGTCTTAATGTAATTTTTGGTGCATCCAATGTTACAAACTAATTGTCATATCTCAGGTTAACAGAAAAGTCTTGTTTGATCGTTATCTTGTTGATTCAGCTGAAAGTTGATAGAAAAATCCTACATGACGGACACACAAGCGTATGATGTGTATTATTTTGACTAAAACTCCCGAGACGAGCCTGGTGGGGGTTGGTGTTTTCTCTGGAGGCGACGGTGATGTCGACGGAATGACTAAGGGGAAGTTTACTGTATTCTACGAGGAAGAAAGCAAATGCGAGTCGGATGAGGAGTTGATAAAGACAGAGACGAAAGTGTGCTGTGACGGCAGTTGTGGTTTCAAATCGGAGTAGTGGAAAAATGGGATAAAATGTTAAAGACGAGGATGGGATTGAATGGGTGGTAAATGTACCAGAATTTAAGAGGGCGGATCGGCGGTCTTTTTTTTTTTTTTAAGTTTAAAAACTAGCAGAAGATAAATGTTAGAAGATGAGGAAATAAATTGAATTTTCATTTAAAATAATACACATCAGACGCCTGCATGTCCGCTATGTAGGATTTTTCGGTCAACCTTCAACTGAATCAGCAAGGTAACAGTCAAACGAGACTTTTCTGTTAGCTTGGGATGTAGACACACCGTTTTAATTAGTTTGGGATACTGGATGCACTAAACTTACTTTTGGACACTGGACGCACATGGAAAAATAGTTCGGAGTGCTGGGCGCACCTTAACCCGTCAAAATAATACACATCATACGCTTACATGTCCACCATGTAGGATTTTCCGGTCAACTTTCGGTTGAGTCAGCAAAGTAACAGTCAAACTTAACTTTTCTCTTAGCCCGGGATATGGATGCATCGTTTTAATTAGTTTGGAACACTGGATATATTAAAAATTACTTTAGGACACTGAATGCACCTGAAAAAATAGTTTAAGGTGCTAGGTGCATCTTAACCGTTAAAAATACTACAGATCAAAATGCTCTTACAAGCTTTTAAAAGCCACGATTTTCTCTCCCTTGGTTGTAGGCTGCCTTGTTTGTATTCTTGTTGTTTCTAATAGAAGTTTCAGTTTCAATTCAAAAAAAAAAACGGCGGTTTTCAATGCACGATACTAAATTTTTTAATAGAAAAAACTTTAGTCCTTAATTAACATTTTTAAATTATGAGATTCTTGGGTGTTGTTATTATTATCTTCCTCTGTGCCCTTTTATTTAGCTTTCACAAGTCAGAGGGCACTTACAAACGGGTAAAGAACAAGTTCAAATTTCCCAGTTCCCTGGGGACGCAGGTACCATATGTTCGCCCTACAAGAGATCTACGACAGGCGACAGCACAACACACAGGGCAAGAAAATAGAAAGAGAAAGAGAAACCACCGAAGATGATAAATCCCAAAATAAAGAAGAAGGAGCTGATGATGATGATAATAAATTAATAATCCATAATTGAGGAAAGAAAAATCCAGCGTAAAGTTGCACACACCAAAGCTTTCCCTGTCTTTGTCTCTCTCCCTGGAGTCTTTTACCTTACCACGTTATTGGATTGAAGCATCAGATTCAAGCAATTTTTAGATTATAAAACCCTAATTTAATCAATTTTAATGCCCAAAGATCGCAGTTTTACGTTTGAACTTATTGTAATTTGAATCTGCATTTCCCCTTTCTGCGCACACAATTTGAGAGGGGGGGGTTCTTAGTGGAACGAATCCTGGAGGAAGAGAGGAGGAGAAATGCCAAGCGTAGCTGTGAAGCTCTATAGCGTATTCTTCAAGATTCTCTTGAAGCACCGTTTGCAGAGCCGGATTCAAAATCCATCAGAAGTCAATCCGTTCGGAGTCACGTCTCGTCCCGAGGAATCCGTTGCTGCGGCTAATCCTTCCTTCACCGATGGTATTGCCACGAAGGACATTCATATTGACCCTTCTACATCTCTTTCAATCAGAATCTTCCTCCCCGATTCGGTACTTACCCCACCTGAAGCCGATTCTAAAATTCCTCCCAAGGCTAAGCCTAAACCTAGGAATAGAAGACTTGATCTCGAATCTGGATCTGCACAGGTCGATTCAGCGAATCGCCATACAAATGGATTACCTACTCGGCGTTATAGTTTTGGTCCTTCTGGTGCACCAACCAGAGAAGAGCCCAGAATGAATGGTTACGGAGGGAGCAATGACGTAGAGGGATTAAATTTGATGACAAGCGGCGCAGTGTATAGAGGCTACTCGCCGGAGTTAAATAACCGTCGTAAATTGCCGGTAATGTTGCAGTTTCACGGTGGTGGTTGGGTCAGTGGGAGCAACGATTCTGCTGCCAACGACTTCTTCTGTCGGCGAATTGCCAAAGTTTGCGATGTCATTGTTCTTGCTGTCGGGTACAGGCTCGCGCCCGAGAGTCGATATCCAGCAGCTTTTGAGGATGGATTGAAGGTACTTAATTGGTTGACAAAACAGGCGAACTTAGCTGAATGTAGTAAGTCGCTCGGGTTACAAAGGGGAAGTGGAACTGAGTTTAAGAAACCTGACGCTCATAGGCATATCGTTGACTCGTTTGGAGCTTCAGTGGTAGAGCCATGGTTGGCCGCTCATGCTGATCCCTCAAGGTTAGACTTTTTATCCCTAGATTATTCTATTGAAATTTGTTTCTGTCTAGCATGCAACGCTAATCTAATTAAGTATTACAGGTTGTGGTAAGTGTTGCTGTCTTAGTACTGGGTGTTTTAATCTTCTTCTTTTTTTTCCCTTGGGGCACGTACACCATCACTTTAAAATCTAGATTGAACTGATGTTTTGGGGTTACCTTCCTCCTTAGTTCTACTGCTTACTTGATCAACGGATCTCAAGAGTTGGGGGGGAGGTAACTAACTGTGTTTTAGTATTTACACTCAAAAGTGGAAGAATAGTATTGGTCGTCAATTGCATTTAAAGAAAAAAAAGTTAGAGGAATTCTGGTTCGATGTCAACTACAAATTTACAATGAATCGGCTGACTTGTAATTGTGGTCAAGTAAGAACGAGAGTTACTACGTAGGCTTATATCTAGAGTATGTGCAATTCTTTTCTCAGTTTTTGTCAATTTAGCGCTGCCAGAAGTACATATTGGTGCCTTTTCCTGTGGCCAACTTGTATGTCCGGTTCATGTAATTGATTAAGGATTCTCAGATGTTATCAAGAGAAATTTGATACTCCTTAAGTTCTAAATATAAAACTCATTTTGTAGTGTAAATTACACTACAAAATGGGTTTTATATTTAGGACCGGAGAGAGTATTTGATTATTTTGAAACTAAGGAATCTAAATGTGGTTGTCAAATTTCATAAAGTCCTCTCTTCTCTTGACAAACGTTTCAATCTTTATTTAATTGAATTCCTTACTTGTTTATTGTTGTTCTTTCTCCAAACTTCCTATACTCTTAGTTGAGACAATAACAATTTTGCCTCACTTTATTTAAGCCTAGAGTTATTGACGTCGTTGTTGCTAAACTGACCATGATATTTGTACTATTGTTTATGTAAGCATTCAGTTTCTATTGCCTTATTTCCTTGGGAGATTATCTTTATAATAGTTCATTGACTTTTTGAATGTGTTTTTAACTTAGCCCTTAATGTTTTAGCTAACAAAATAGGAAGATAATATGACAATGTGTCAACTTGAGGCGATTGAAAAAGAGATGGTAAAGTGAGGGCAGATTGCAAGTTATTCTTCCTACGGGTGCTACTCAATGACTAATTCAATTCATCCTCTACTATTAAATAAGAAAATTGAAGGGTTTTTATGATGAAGGGAAAAACTTGTGCTTTATTAGTCTCAGAATTTTTTTCTTCTTGATGGCTGACATTCTTGTTTGCTGTATGATGGTTTCTTTATAAATTATTGTCAGCAGAAACTTGAGGCTCAACCCTTTTTATCTCTACATGTTTATTAGCTTGTGTTTCTTTCCTTCTTTTTCTAGGTAATCTCTTTGACTGGGTACTTTCAAGATTTTTCTGGACAATAATACTTTTCAAATGGTGAATTACTCCTTAAAAGAGCACATAGTTTGCATCAAAGTGACCTGAGTGAACTTTAGAGGACGAGTTTTTCCCCTGACTGAAAGATAATTGCTTTTGCTTGATTATAGTATCATCTATGATTTGGCGGAGACATTTTCTGTTCCGACTTTGGGCATCATTGTTTATATAGTGTTATGCTATGCCTCTCTGAAAGGGGCCTTGTTTGAAATTTGAAAGTACTGAAACTATGTTGACAGCTTATGTTTTAAGGTAACATTTTTGTGGTACACTATTCTGCGTCATCTTTGTTCTGTGTCATGTTTCATTTCGCTCCTTTTGTATGCTAGTCATTGTGGAGTTATGTATTATGATGGTTCACAGTCTGACCTTTTTATTTTTCCTCAAAAATTTGTAACAGGTGTGTCCTTCTCGGTGTGAGTTGTGGTGCAAATATTGCAGACTATGTGGCTCGAAAAGTTGTAGAAGCTGGCAAACTTATGGACCCTGTCAAGGTGGTGGCACAGGTCTTGATGTATCCCTTCTTTATTGGAAGTGTTCCCACTCACTCGGAAATAAAATTGGCGAACTCCTACTTTTATGATAAGGCTATGTGTATGCTTGCATGGAAACTTTTTTTACCCGAGAAAGATTTTGACCTGGATCATCCAGCCGCTAATCCTTTAGTTCCAGGCCGAGGACCTCCATTAAAGCTGATGCCCCCAACATTGACTGTCGTGGCAGAACTTGATTGGATGAGGGATCGTGCCATTGCTTACTCAGAGGAGCTACGGAAGGTAAATGTTGACGCACCTGTTCTGGAGTATAAGGATGCAGTACATGAATTTGCAACACTTGACATACTCATGAAAACCCCTCAGGCCCAGGTCTGTGCCGAGGACATCTCCATTTGGGTCAAGAAATATATTTCACAAAGGGGTCATGAATTCTCATATTGAGGTGGATATAACATTTTAAGACGACGTGGAAAATCTCTTGCTTTTGAAATTAGCTCCAGAAGGTGCATTCTACCACTACCAGGGGCTGGTGGTGATATATTCCTTGATTTTTTTTTTTTCTCATGCTTGATAAAGGCATTGGTTGCCAACCAATCGCATGTTTGCTCCACTTGTCGGTTCTTTTTGTAAGATATAGAATTGTCTAAAAGTAGGATTAGTTGAGCCTTGGAGATGCATTCATCTCATGTCACACCCCCACCATTGGAGGTTCCTGTAATCTTGAGACCTTTTTGTTTGGTGTATTGTATGTATGACGATATACTCTCTCTCATGAAAAGATGCCAAAATTGAGTGAAACTGCTCTCGACGGGTATACATGATGCATGTGTTTGGACATTTCCTGTAATCTTGATTTCAACCCTCCAATACATGCCACCACCTCGCAGCTGAGAGGTCGCTGCGACGGTAGCATGTTATCAAAAACAAGTTTGTTTGGCGTTTGGACATCTTTTTAAAGTCAGCAGCATTAAATTTTACGTCCTTAAGAGTACTGTCTTGCTAGATCTAACGATGATTTGTAATATTGAAGGAGTATTTTAATTACTTTTATCTATTTACTTGTGCAATTAATAACGGAGAATACACAACCTATTTGTGTGAGAGAGATTTACTAACAATGAGTTGGTGAACAGGAGCAAATTTTTGGTCCAAGGAAAGGCGCTTTATTTGCCTTCTTTTTCTGGGCCAATTTTATTTGCAGCCTTGGGGGTAATCTTGGCTTAGGAAACAAAATGTTCGACCCAAAAAAATTACTCCTCCGGTCCATAATATATAACCTAATTGTTGAGTTAGTTTTGGTTCTAAATATAAGACCTATTTCTCATATTTATCAATTTTTCTAAATTACCCCTATGGATACTCCCTCAACCATAATCAAATAGAAGAGGGAGAAGGGGTATTAAGAAAGATGATTATGGTATTTTAAGAAAAATATGTTACATTTCTTATAATTAACTAACTTACCTAACTTTCTTAATCTATTCAAATTAGTTAAATGAATTTTATATTAAGGACGGGTAGAGTATAACAATAAAAAGGAGATGAAATGATGAAATGACTTGAATTCTTGTTGTGTCAGTCAGGTACCTTGGTCGCTTGTAGCTTTGCGTAAGAGCGAATGAACCAGAAGCATCGTTTTCATTCTGAAGCGTGTGAACTGAACTTTCTCCTACAGGGGCATTATGTATGTATATGTAGTTAGGAATCATCCTTTGCGTTTTCATTATTCTCACCCCTGCAACCTCAGCTCACTCAATTCTGAGAAGGACACGTTAGTTTTGGGATGATTCCTAACTACATAAACATAATGCTGTATTTGAACGTGTATGAAAATTTTAAGCATTACTCCAATTTCTTGGGAATTTGTTCAAGTAATTTCTACAACGAAACGGAACAGAATTACACACTTGTGTATTTCCGATATCTTAGTGATAAGAACCTTTAAAATATAATAAAACTTTTAAAATCATTGTTTAAAAAAAAAAATAATATACTTGCATTGCATATTTTGATTAAAAGTTAAAAACTTCGGTAATAATTCCGAGGCTGGCTGCCCAGCTCAAATGATAAGAAGACGAGTCCAATTTAGAATAGTGGTGAAAGATTCAGATTCCTATGATATAATTAAGAAAACATAAAATTATGTATTTTTTTTTCTTTTTGATGTCACATGAAGATGCGTGGGATTGAAAATAAATATAATTATTACTCTGAAAAATGTATAACGTTATAATGGGAACAGAATGACGATAAATTAGTAGCCATGAGATAAGAATAGAGGCATGTAAAAAGGTCTTAGTTAAAACGCTTGTTTTATGGCGTGTTAAAAAATTAGAAAAAAAATCAAAAGGTAAAAAAAGTATAAATTTCTGCATGTTTTACCTATTCTACAGAAAGCAAAGCAGGCCATGCGGTGAAAGTTTTGTGCTTAATATTGCGATTTGTTTTGAACTTTTCTCTCGAAACCGGTGGATGCATGCACTATATATGCTGTGATCAACCTTGAGCTTCTTCGCTCACTCCCATATACATCGCCTCTTCACTCACTGCTCTCTCCACTTCTCACGTTCGCCTTGATCCTTCGTTACACTCCGAGTCTCTTCTTCGTTTCAGGTTTCTCTAAACAGAGTTATGGGTGCCAAGATCAAGATAGGGATCAACGGTATATACATTTTGATGCAATGACATTCATTTCTACTATTCTTTATGCGGGAAAGTTAAAATTTGCTTAATTTGTTGATATTCTGATATTAACTGTGTGGTCTATGTTATTGTGCGATTTTATGATGGTGAAGGATTTGGAAGGATTGGCCGTCTGGTGGCCAGAGTGGCTTTGCAAAGAGATGACGTTGAGCTCGTCGCTGTCAACGATCCTTTCATTTCAATTGATTACATGGTAAGCTTAGCAATTTTAGCATCCGGGTCTGTGTTGAGGTAGTGAGGTACTTTTGGCAGATACCACCACATATGATCATAAATGTGAGACATTCTGGGTGGATAGATTTTTTCCTGTAATGTTAATCATGATGTTTTCGTTGCTAACCATATTAATTAAAAGGGTATAATATCATCATATCATCATATTCAAAGGTATAATGTCATCATATCATCATATTCAAACACCTCGATCATTTTCGTCTGTCTGCATTAATTTATTTCAAATGAGCCTGCACCCATATGTTATCAAGTTTTGCGTTTGCGCACGTAAAGCTGAAGTTTTGCCCTGCAGACTTACATGTTCAAGTACGATACTGTTCACGGCCAATGGAAGCACCATGACATTAAGATTAAGGACTCCAAGACCCTTGTCTTTGGTGATAAGCCAGTCTCTGTTTTTGGTACAAAGTATGCTTCTCTAATCCCTATACTTGGTAATTGGATGAGATATGCTTCATACCTGAAGATATTAAGCCAACTAGCTTGTGTGTAATAAGTCACATTGTTCATGGCTTATGAATGATATTGTTTCCTATGGATTATATATTAACATATCCATTATTTGTCTGATTAGGAACCCAGAGGAAATTCCATGGGGTGAGGCAGGAGCTGAATATGTTGTAGAATCCACTGGTGTTTTCACTGATAAAGACAAGGCTGCTGCTCACTTGAAGGTTTGTCAATATTAAGTGGTCCTGACTTGGCCTGTCTGTTCTCATACCCGTCATCTTATTTTTGTGGCTGGTCATATTGTTTGGTTCTTAGGGTGGTGCGAAGAAGGTAATTATTTCTGCCCCCAGCAAGGATGCCCCAATGTTTGTTGTCGGCGTCAATGAGAAAGAATACAAGTCAGACATTAATATTGTCTCCAATGCTAGCTGCACGACCAACTGTCTTGCTCCCCTCGCAAAGGTAGTTTGAGTTTAGTTTCTTGAACTGTGAAAGACTGATTCTTGTAATGCTTTCAAAAATATAGACATTCCCTGGCTGACCTTATATCCTTGAAATGTTCTCCAGGTTATTCATGACAAATTTGGAATTGTCGAAGGTCTTATGACCACTGTCCATTCTATTACTGGCAAGTATCCAATGGTAATCTTTTACTAATTTCTCTAAGTTGAAAAGGATTTATTTTCCCATTGATCATCTTTCTTTGTCTCACAGCCACCCAGAAGACTGTTGATGGACCATCAATGAAGGACTGGAGAGGGGGCAGAGCTGCTTCCTTCAACATCATTCCAAGCAGCACAGGAGCTGCTAAGGTATTTGTCTCGCATAGATGGATCAATACGTATCTTTTTTCCCTCACTATATCCATTAAATTTTAAGCTCAGGTTACCCCTTTCAGCCATAGTTGTCCTTGTCATCAGACAAGCATGTCCCACCTAAATGTGAATTCATATCTGACAAACGTTACCCCTTTCAGGCTGTGGGTAAGGTACTGCCCTCTCTGAACGGAAAGTTGACGGGCATGGCTTTCCGTGTTCCAACTGTTGATGTCTCAGTGGTTGACCTCACTGTTAGACTTGAAAAGGGAGCCAGTTATGATGAGATTAAAGCTGCTATCAAGTAAAAATAGGGCTTTAATTTTGAGATGAAGACATAAAGTGATGCTCTCCATTTTTATTCCACTATTATGAGGGCAATGGCTCATCTTCCAGTTTCTACAAATTCCTTGCAGGGAGGCATCTGAGGGAAGCTTGAAGGGAGTCCTTGGCTACACAGAGGATGATGTTGTGTCCACAGATTTCGTAGGTGACTGCAGATCAAGCATTTTTGACGCAAAGGCTGGAATTTCTTTGAGTAACAATTTTGTGAAGCTCGTCTCTTGGTATGACAATGAATGGGGCTACAGGTGACACAGAATTCTTAACCTTTTTGTTTTTTAAAATGGTGTGCACTTCTTTCAGTTCCTAATGAACGGTGGTTTTTATTTTTGTGGCAGCTCACGTGTGGTTGACTTGATTCGACACATGGCTTCTGTCTAAGTGAATCTGCATGGAGTTTGGATCAAATCTCATAATTGGGATCAGCATTCAACTTGCTGCACCTCTGGCTTCATAAAACTAGTTTTCTTCTTTTCTTGTATTCTTTCATAATAATGTGGCCTTCTGGATGAATTACTTCAGATAAACTATCTTCCCAGGTTACTTCTTGACTAGGAAAATTATGAATGGCCCCATTGCCGCTTTCTTTATGGACACCAAATTTTGTGAGAAGAGTTTTTGTTTATTCTTATTCTTATGGACAAGTCCTTATGATCTTTTTTTTTTTTTTTGGCAACTCCTTGTGATCTATTTATTATCAATAGTATGAAGCAATACTCCTATTCATAATGATATGTTTCTGCACAGCCAAACTAATATTTTTCATTCAACCAAATTACAATGCGTGTTTATATGCCTAGAAAGTTACACGTTGATTACTCGCTATTCTCCATTAAACAGCTCTTAAAAAGACAGATCGATCTTTATGCCATTTAATCAAGTCAAAGCATATAGCTTCAAGCCTTCAACTCAGTCGTTCATCATTAATGGAGGGTATAAAAGATCACTTATATTGATAACACGCAATCCAATTAGGCACCAAGGCTCGGATGATGTAAGCCCATTTGATGCTCGACGGCTGACGCTATTGCTCCATAGTCTAAGAAAGTTGTTCATATGCTTGCGTTTCCTTTAGAGTCGAATTGTATTGCCATCAGATTGAAAATTGGTGGGAATCTCTCCTGTCAGTTCCTACTTTGTTGTTAGTTAAGTGAAAGTGAATACATAATAATGAAGCTGTCTTTTTCCCTGTACTAAAACTGGCACTATCAACGTCATAGAAAGAAGCCAATAAAAGTTTGCCTACTTAGTAAGAAGTTAGTTTATAATCCACAAGACTGATTTCAAATATCCCTGCCAATATGAATGCCTTGTCGGTAGTGATCTGTAAATACTTTTGTAATTGTCTTTTGAGTTTGGAGGCATCCCCTAACTCTGATAAACTTTTGAAACCCAACTCAGTTAACTTTTTTTTTTTTTAAACAAGAAATGAATAACTTTGTGGCCTAGCAGTATATAAGGTTTCTTATAAGTAAAAAGTTGTGTTCAATACTACTTATAATTTCAAGTCATTAGTACCTAGTTTTGTAATTGGAAGGGGAAAAAAACACATTACCACAAGAAGTCAACTAGTCGAGAAGTGGGCTTGTCCGCTGCACAAACATAAAAACAAAGAGGTGAGGGGGCAGGGAGTCGGGAGTAAACGAAAAAGATGCAGGCACAATAAACAAAGGCGCACACGCGTAGCCTAAATTAAATCATGGCTTCAATGAATCAATGGATGAATGATTCATCAACAGTTACTTGAAGGTTTTCATTTAAAAATAAAATAAAATAATGCATGATATTCTTTATTAAAAAATAATGATAAATTAACGTTCAATCATAAAAAGTTGCTATACGTGGCAATTCTATTGGCCAATACTGAGAACAGCCAATTATTAAATAGCCACTAAATTTCAATTGCAGAAGAACTTTGTCTAGTTGTTTTGTAATGACATTTCAAAGTTTGCTCCTCAAACGCGTAAACTAGTCTTTTTCAACAACTATAGGCAACTACGATTATGCAGAACTTTTGATACCCATCCGCAATACTCATAGCTAGGCGTAGATAGAGAACTAACACTCGTAGGTAGGCGAAGATAACGAACCGTCACCCGTTGCTTGACAAAAAGATAATGAAACACCATATCGGTATATCCCAGGTGGGATCTGAAAAGCGTGATGCTCGGCTTTTTCTAAACCAAAGCAGATACCAAGACAACCCAAAACGATGCTCAGAGTCAGACCCTTTCGTGATGGATGACTACATTATGGGAACTGAAAGAATCAAAGAATTTCGTCGGAATAAATGTAATTATTAGCTTAGTACTATGATCCATAATTCAATCCGGGTCACAAGACGAGCATCACTTAGTCAATTTCTCCCTCTTCTACATCATTTACGGGATGTGGAGTAGAGGGTGGCTCTCCAAATTCCTCTTCATCATCCACTTTCATATACAATCCTAGTTGTTCCAAGGGATTATTACTTCCAAACTTGAAACTACCCAAGCCATCTTGTGAGTGATCAGGGCTCGTCTCATCCACAGAGCTCGGTTGTTGTTCAGCAGGCGCGGCTCTAAGCAATTCCAAGTCTTTAAGAACCCGAGAACTCTCTACCACATCAACAGACTTTTCAACCTGCATAAAGTTCCAGAACAAGCTTCAATGAAATAGGGGCCAAAACACGCTGATGAACAACTATGGGCAACATATATTCTCATCATTTACCTCTATCAAAGCTTGCCGTGCAGCTTCTCTCTCAAGCTCCCTCTTTCGCCGAGCTTCTGCAGCAGCTTCTGCTTCTGCCCGCTTTCGAGCATCTTCAGCAGCCTTTGCTTCTGCCTGTAGCCTTGCTTTTTCTGCTCACAAAGTAAATATGGTGGATGTATTAAATAGAGGAGGTTTAACAACCACTACGGCAGAGCACTTTTTCTTTTGGGTGAGATACGGCAGACCACTTTTATAAACAGCAAAGAGTAATGTCAACTAATTACCTTTCCTTCGCTCCATCTCCAGTTTTTCCCTTTCCCTATGCAATTTCTCAGAATCGCCCTTCTGACCCTGATCTCAGCCACGTTAAATAAGTACCACATGAAATTGAGAAAATAAGCAGACAAAATATTTACAAGCAGAGCACATTCAGGGCTTAAAATTTTTATAAACCTGAATTAGCGTCTTCTCTCGAGCTTTCAAGATAGTATCAGCAAACCGGTTCTTCAATAATGCAGCCCTATAGAGCTTGTCGGGAGAAACCTGTCTTGGAGCACTATCCCCTACAACAACCCCTTAGTAGGTATCCAGTGTTAACGGAGAACATATATCTTGTATAATTTTCTACTCTTAGCCTCTTACCATCTCGACACTGGTCTGAGTCAAAAGAATTTGGCTTCTGCTCAGAACTATCATCAACTGGGTCCAACCCAACAACAGGTTCTGCATGACGTAAAGGTAAGAATCCAAGTCAGTTAATCTTACTGGTAAAGGGGAAAAGAGATCGAAATAGCAATGCTCATTCACTAGACTCCCGTTACACCCTCCAAGACTCTATATATTGAGCTAATTAACCAAACTACCCTTTTACCCCTAATTCCCTATCACTTACAGTGAAAACAGAGAGATTTTAAAGTGAATAATATTGAAAGAACAGCATCCAAAGAAAAGAAGCTAATTTGCAGCTACCATTACGGATGTTCAAGATTAACATCAACGAAAACATGCTAGACTGGTAGACTAACATTAATAGAAAAGTTACATGGTCTCTAATTCATTAAGGCATAGACTTCATGAATTATTTAGCAACAAGAAACAAACAGAAATCACCACAGCATTTTCCATTCTTTACCGAAAGAAAATTCTGTCAAGCAGCCGCAAAGAGAGAGTAAACTATACAACCACAAGTAGACAACGGAAGGGAACCTGTGTACAACTTTTGCATGTACATAAGCCATACATACCCCATTTAAAACGGCAGATCATAATCACCGCAACTAGCTTTAAGAAATCAATCACAAGATGACAGACAAGCAGAACAAAGAATCATTACTCACGATTCTTTTCTAGAGTATCATTAACCTGAGTCTTTTCATCCAATTGAGCTCCATGACCCAAACTGTCTGCTACCTAAAGAAAAACCAAGATAGATAGTTAGAGTACAAATAATAAAGACAGACGAGGTGAAGTCCAACAGAAAACGCTTAGAGAATCCAAAAATTACCTTTGATGCTCTTACTAGACCTGTTTTAGCATCCTTCGACTCAGAATCAGAAGACCCGCTAGAATCTGCATTGAAAAGCACGCATTAGACATTGGCACTAGCAACCATGCAAAAGCTTCATTATTAAATGTTAAATATGCAACTACAAACAATTCACCGTGTCCTTAAAGTAAAATATCATAACCCTATCCTTCACAAAGTTTGGTTGAGTCAAACAACAAGCTCATCATCTTCTCAGAACAAAATTCATTATTTTTCTAAGAATTCAACATGAAGCTAGCAGATACTCATACAGGATTTGATCAATTCCCGGTCAAAAAGAGGTGGCAGTAAGTTGAAACCCCATATGGATTATAATAATATCGTTGTCCCACATCAGTTCCCAGATGCATATACTATAATATCCCTATATTTTAGCTCAATGAAAGAAGCAATAGGAAGTAATGTAAGACTGTTCAAAGTCAAAGAAGATATAGAAGTGTCCAAAACTCACATACCACTGGAGCTTCCTGGACTTGAACGTCTGTTAATTCTGTAAGTTGCATCCTTCTCAATTTCCACAGGAGGATAGCTTGTGACAGGGGGTTCATTTCCACCAATGTCCACGTCTTCATCACCAAGGTCATCACCTAAAGGCGAAACATATTCAAATAAGATATCAAATATCAAATACAGTACACACATGCGCGCGCACATAAACCCACTCACTGACTATAACCTTTAAACGCTTGCAATGATAAATTGCTTGGTCCAGAATCATTCAACAACTACAACATAACAAAAATAAACAAACGTAAGTCAGAGGGAGAAAGAATTACGTTCAAACGAAATATTAAACTGGCTTAACTATGAAAGGGAAGGGAGCAGGAACTGCAGGATAATACCTCTATTTCACACAGTTCAGCCTTTTCATTGCACTTCTGCTTCTCTTGCAAATATTCATCCAAAAGCTTCCGTAGAGTGGAGAGCGTATCATCACTGAGATCATCAATATCAATCTCAATCTCATCCTCTCCACATTCTTTACCACTTGAACTGTGTTCTTTTAAGAAGTCTACAATATGCGCGGGCAATTCTCCCAACAAAGACTCCAATTCTATGCCTAGATTGTGCTTCTCCTCATCTGTCATAACTCGCTTAACAGGAGGTACAACTTCAGGGTAATGGGGAATTGTTGTGATTTTCCTCTTTTTTGAAGGAGGCATTGGTCTAGCTGCTTCCACATCTTCATGGAGGCAAGATTTCACTGGCATTGGATGAGCATTGGTTTTTGGAATTTTCTTCTCAATCGCTTTCCACCTCACTTCAAAATATTTACTAAGGGTAGCAGCCATGACATGGACATCATTACCAGGTGGATTATAGGTCATTGCATTTGAAAATGTAAGTTTTACATCCTCACAAAATTCCAAAGGACCAGAGTATGCACCTGAAGCTATCTTGCTTTTTATTGTTCCTAAATCCATAGGATGCTTAATAACAGTGAAATAATCTGGGAGATTCAACTTCACCACATCAACAGGTGTGTTGAAAACCCAAGCATATTGGTGGTTCATCAATCGTTTTAAAAGTGCCTCACACTGTTTCATCAACAAGGTATTTGCAGCTGTTGGTGAACAGGTGGTCTGTGTCTGTGGTGCAGGCTCAAACTTCCCAGAAGAACCCCGGTTCCATCCACGAGGCTTCTGACCTGTTGGATTCAATTTTTTCCCTGAAACAGAACTAGGAGCCAATGATTTTCTGGACTTCTCTAATTGAGGCCTGTTATGTCCATTACTACAGCTAAGAATATCACTGGTTGATGACAACGCAACAGCATTTGTTCTTTGTAGCTCAACTTTCTTCTGAAGTCGCTGAATCTGTTCAAGCTCTGATCTCAACCTAAGCACCAGATCCTTTCTTTCAAGGGGTGTTATATCTGACAACCGAAGAACTTGCATGGGAACACCAAAATTGTCACAGTGACTTGAATTTAAACTAACACATCTCCTCGCAGGGACACTTGAGTTCTCCGAAACCGTTATTTCAGTATCTATTGGTCCAGAGCTACCAGACCCCTCTGATTCATCGGCTATCTCTACTGCATTGCCGTAATAACCTCCAGAGAACCTATTACTCTTAGCCATCATCATATTCAGAGATCTGACAACTGTAACATGAAATAGAGACACTCAGTGTTTACACCCAAAATGGCTATCAAAGAACATTTCCCATCTCTGGTTGTCCCGCCAAACCATACAGTAGTTTAAATGTTTAGAAGCGCCATAAGTAGCGAAGAAAATTTTCTTATGACGTTATTGTGAATTTAGGACCACAATAATATTACTTAGGTAAACCAAGCGGAAAAGAAGTTCTTTTTAAGGACCGTGAAAAATCAATTTCCATCTCTGGTTGTCCCAACAAACCTGATGGCGAAGCTCAGTAATGTATATGTTTATATAAAGAAAAAAGACAACTTTCTCATGATACTTCAAAGTACTCTGGGCCCTGATAATAATAATACCAAGGTAATTTCACTTGAGAGGAAAACAAATTGAGTTGTTTTTAAAGACAATTCGTGTGCACATTAGACGTGAAAGAAATTACTTTGAACAAAAAGTTAGGGAACTCAAAAGTATTGAAAAAGAAAATAATCGTGAAAAAGAAAGAAAGAAAGAAACTGAAATGAAGTTATAAGATACCATAGATTTAAATAAGACCCAAGTCCCTTCCAGCGATCATCTTGATTCCCAAGAACAACTTGCACTTCGCACAAAACGGAAAATTTTCCAATGATGAATCAAGCCTAAGCCAGCCAAAAGAAGATCACAAATGTCAAATTCAATACGGTCATAGGCTCATAGCCGTCGAAGAACAATTACCAGTCGCTACTTTGAAATTTGCATCGTACTCACTACAGCTGAGATTACAGGCCCTTCTTTGGATCGAACAACAGTTAAAAAAACCCTTCCCAGGAAATGAGATTCAGAGATTATGCAGTGGGAATCCAAGGACCAAAAGTGACAACATAAATCGATACGAGGATCACGGCACAACTAAACGGTGAGATTCCCGAAAAAGTGTCGAAGGCGGCAACTGCTCAATGAGACATTGCGCTTCCCCAAGAGCGGAAGCCCAACTGGCAGTTACTTCGGAGCAGAGAAGAGAACGCCGCGCTTGCCGAGCGAGCTTTCACTTTTCAGACCTAGACTCCGAATGAAACAATGAACGGCGTGATGCGAGCATGGGCCATCAAAGAGCAACTTCTCTACGTCACAGACCGCTGAATTTGATCCGTTGATTCGCCAACGCCACGAACAAATTCAACGGACAAGATGCTTTGAAGGTTTTTGCTTTTTCTGCTCGAGGTTTTGGAAGCCAATGATTTGGGCCGTCGGATCTGATTGGCATTTTTTTGCCTATAGATTTTAAAATCTGACGTGGATTTTGTTGGTAGAATTTAGCCGCATCTTGTGGAATTATTGTCCATCAACATTTCTCTTTCCGGTCCCAAAAAACCCTTTTCTTCTGGAATGTTCTGGACAATTAGAAAGTGTTGGATTGGGAGCTCTTTCACCTCCATCCTCCCCCTGTTAGGAGTGTTAAAAGTTGGCCTTACTGGTCTATCTCGGTCCTAGTTATACTAAGATGAGACGGGTTGGTCCCGAAACAGGACAAGCTGGTATAGGACAAAAGTTGGGATCAGGACGAGACGCAGGGTGAGATTGACCTCCCGTCCCTGTACTAATATTTTTTAATTTTTTATCATATTATAATTATTAAATTAAATGTTAAAAATACAAAATGTTTAAGGCATATATAATGCAAGATGTTTATATTTGTGACTTTTTAGCACATATGTAGTTGAATGGGTATTATTTATTTAAAGCTTTTATTGTTATTGATGATTGTTGGGATAGTAAAAATGAATTTCAGAGTTATTGTGTTATTGGTTATTATTTATTTGGCTTTTTGTTTAAAAGGGCTACGTCCAAAGAACTAAAAAATATATATAAGCCAAACAAAAAACAAAAATCCATTGTAATAAATCCAATCACATGCAAAAAAATGGCACATTTGAGTTCCATCCCTATTCTGCCCCTATCAAGATCAGGACAGGACGAAACACGAGACAAATTTCCTGTCTCCTTCTTGGTTATCAAGACGGACTGAGAATGGGATTGTGAACAACCCTATCTCCAGTCTTCTACTCTTTAAAAAAAAGCTGTTAGGCTAAAATTATTAAAATGTTGAATTATAAAAAAAATAAGCAAACAAATTGTGAAAAATCAATATTTAAAACTAGATTATTTAAATGTTTACCACAAATAAAAAATTGAATAGGGGTGGAAGAGTATAAAAAGAAAAGCGGATTGAGTCCTTTTCCATAAAGGTTCACGTCTTTTTTAAAAAGTCCTGACTCAAATGCTCGGTTTTCTTTTTTGGGCCAACACAAATGCTCGGGTCAAGTGGCACGGTCACTAATATGGCTCCTTTGAGATGCCATTTGTTAGCTAAAACCACAGCTCAGTATGTAATTAAACCCGCAGCATCTGATCTATTTCATTTAAAAATAATATCTAGATTGATACTATCTCCGATCCTTGATATAAGACATAGTTAATTAATTTGAATTAATTAAGAAAACTAGTTAAGTTAATTATTTGTAATAAATAAATATTATCTTTTCTAAAATGTTTTTACTAATCAAGCATATTGGCTAAAACTATCGTTATTACAAGAACTATCTTGAGAAAAAATAAATAAATATGAGAGATAAAATGGATTAAAGTTATATTAAAGATCAAATAGATTGTTGAAGAGAAATAGTTGATATGGAGAAAATTCTCTCCTCTCCCCTCTCTCTCTCTCTTCCCCCATCCCTTTCCCCTGTCCATTTCCCCTCTCTTTTTTTTAACCACAAAATCAATACTTAAACAATTTAAATTTAATATTTTATGAAGCATTTTTATTTTTTCTACTGTAGTTTAAAACTTTCAAATTTAAAATTTAGCAGTCTGAGTTTGATTGTTTATGTTTTTCAAGATCTAAAATTAGATAATAATTTTATAAAAAAACTAAATCTAAACCTAATTGTTAATTTAACAACAAGAAAGGGATAGAGGAGATGGGGATTGAAAGGGAGGACGTCCAAAGGAAAAACAAAAGCACGACATTATAATAAATGTCATATTAGCCTAAGAATTTCTAGATTTTAAACCATGAAGAGGTGTATGATTAAATTAAATTGTGTGATTTTCAAAATTGTAAAGTTTTTTTTTTTTTTGGTTTAGGGATAGTTCAAATAAAGCACGTTAACCCTGGCCCAAAACATGAAGAAGATTACGGTATCCACTGTAGCTCTTTGAGAGACGTATAATTACTAGTTTAATTGGGCTTAGGCCCATTCGTATGAAAAATTAGAGTTTCATTGCAGGCCCAAAATAACATAGCTAGTTCGAAATGAGGGGAAGCATATAAGAAGACCAAGCACAGCGTACTGGAGTGGGCCCATGGACTGATCAACGGGTCCATGATACTTATTTCCCCATCCTCCGTAACAAGCAATAAGAGTTAATCAAACTAATAAGAAATCGACTCATAACACAAAATAATGAGTTTGAATCATGCTCCCGATACGAGGACTTTATTGAAGAGGGATATGTAAATATTTCTATAAGCACTCCCTAACCTAGAAGTAGACCCTCAGGACTCAACTTGTTTAAACTTTTTTAACCAAAAAAAAAAAAAAAAGATCATACAATCTGCAATCTTTTACATCGGAGAAGCTAACAACACTTCGGACCACAGTGCCCTAATAAAGGGCCTTTGCAGACCCAAAACCATTGCCTAAAAAATTTAATTTTGTTCCGTAAATTTTTCCCTGCCAAAAATATGTAACAAGTCATAAATAGTATAATTCAACGTCAATATATATGATAAAATTTATAATAGATTATACAATTCATTGGTTATAAGCAACGTGCCTCGTGGTAGGCCCAGGAAACACAAATTTAACTAATACTGTGTAAATGAACATCAATTATTTGGTTAATCGTCCTCTTGGTTTTGATCATTTTATGACATGGAATATTCCAATAGTATGAATTCCAAATAGTTCAGATGATGGGGAGTATACTCCTCTCCGGCTACAAATATGCAGTGATGGCTTTCATTGATGACTTCTAATTTCGTGGAAAGGTAAGTTTGGTAGCTTTGCCATTACAAATGTTACTTGCTTTCTAAATGTAAATACTCTCATTCACAATTCCAGGCATCTTTGAGATTATGCTGTCGGGTGCGGTTAGAAGGTATGGGTATCTCTAGAAAGCACGTAATTAAGCAATGGCAAACCCCTAGCCTCATTACCATGAAATGGCTAGAATTATATTCATAAATAATAAGTAATTCGATAGCTAAAGTTTATATATATTATCTGTTTTGATCCTAGTTTCAGATGTTCACTAGTTATTAACAATTCATTTGCGTCTCTAAGGTTCTGAGAAGCTTTTTTATTCATTACTATTCCGTTAAGCAACGCATTGCAGGGACTACAAATAGAACCTGGAACAAATATGAGCGGTAGGATATGATTGGGGTAGAAGTGCTGATCTGGCTGAGCAAATATTGTGAACAAAACATCTACATATCACGGTAAATATGAGCAAAAATTTTATAATGAACAGCTGAACACTAATGATTCTAACCCGCGCCGCGTATGTAAAATTTATATAACCGAGTTGAATTCAAACATTAATCTCGATGGTAAAAGAGAACCATTGCATATTTGCATCATTTTTTTTGTTGAGTAGGATGGTATCGCTGCCTCAGGGTATCCCAGCACAACCGGTCAGACTAATCCCAGGTGCACTCGCAGGTATCGAGCCCATGACATGGTAGGGAAGGCGCCTTGCATTTCCGTTTGCGACCAGTCAGACCCGACCCTTGCAGGCATATTTGCATCATATTTTAATCCAACACCTACGCCAAGTGTCACAGTACAACTTCGTTTTATGAATCTTGCCTGTGTCTCCAAAAAGTAATTAATATTACGTAAATTAACATTAATTATCGTTGTTTAATTTCGATTATTTTATTACGTGTAGCATATTTCACTGGTATGCATGGTCCAAATAGTTCAGATAACACTACTACAAAAAAAATCCTTTTTTGTCTATTTTAGAGGCTTTTTTTCATCTGTTTAAACGGGGACGTAGACAAAAGAGACGTAGATAGAAGTTAGATATTCATCTGTTTTGTAAGAGATAAATATGTAAGACACATATTCGTTTGTTCATTCTAAAATGTATAAATATGCAAGGCGAGTATGTGCCTTGCATATTCATCTGGTCTAGTCAGAACAGACGAATATAGTGGTTTTTTTTTTAAAAAAATGTAATTATTTGCACTATCAATTTTTACTATAACCTGTAATTCTAAAATGTATAAAACAAAACCAACATAGAGCAACAATGATAGTAATTCAGCATAACCAAATTATGTTACGCTTTCCATGCAAATCATAATTTTAAGAGTCAAAGCAAATAACAACAATAACATCTAAATTAGCTTAGTTAAAAAAAAAACCTTAATTTAGTCACATAACATAAAAAAGTTTAAAACTAGAAAATCTAATGACATCCTAACTTTTTTAATTACCTATTTTAACTTTTAGAATCCCATACCTTTCTAAAATATAACATGAAGATTAAACATTGAGGACACTTAATTAACTATCATATTCCAACAGATTCTCTCCTGGATGTTTTCACAAACACCTTATGTGTATTAATATTTAAACAAGTTTAATATACTTTTAATCTTAATATACTTTTCCAATCACTATCATTACTTTCCAAAAGCTATTGTTCACCAACAATAAATTTAAATAGAAAATTTTCAACACCAAAATACCCAAACAATCACTTTTAACAAACATATAATAGTCTCATACAACCAAAACATTCAACGCCAAATCACATAACCTACCTTGCTTATTGCAAAGCTAAAACGGTAGAAAAAGAAGAAGTAAGTGTTGCTAAGCACGAAAAGGAAGAGAGGAGAAGCTATCCACCATCGGAAAGAAAAGCTGGTCGTGGAGTCCATTGTGTCGTCGTTGGGTTTTAGCATTGCTAAGAAAGAGAAGAGAACAGGAGCTATCGTCGGTCAAGCAGGAGAAGATAGAAGAACGCTGGTTATCACATGAGAAG